TCTTAGTGATAGACAAGTTATGCACCTTGTAATTCTTAAGATCCTGTTTAGCCAGTAGTGTTTTAAACAGTTGCTAAGTAGTAAACATCCTTTAAGTGCCAAGGCAGGAACTCAGCTCTGGCCATTATCGGAAGAAATTGAAGCATAGTTAGGATAAGTTAGTCATTAGTGAAGAACAGATCCGGCTGTACCCTGTAATAGAAACATCGTGAGGAAGTAAAACTCTGAGAAAAACAAACTTCTAAGGAAAATAGACCCTAGGAAGGAAGGAACGTTGAAACTATGTAGAAAACAATTTCCTAATGGGTAAAGGTTTAAACTTGGAAAAACAACTTTGGGAAAAACAGCTCACTGATGTAAATAGTTACCTGCCCAGTATGAAAAGGACATGCTGTAAAAATAAAGTGAGACATTAATTCTTGAAAGCGCTCCTGTGTCTCCACGCGTTCTTTCCTCGCCGACTCCGCCTCCACCTGAGGGAACCCCTGGACATGCGGGAGTCTCCCGCAAAGCATGTTGAGTTACTTTAATAGTTTCTCTACTTAAGTGGTATAACCATTTACTCTGGTGTTTTTGTGAAGATAAATGTCAGCATTTGTATTTGTTTTTCTCTTTTTAATAGCACCCAGAAAAAAATCAAGACTCTGCAAATACTCTTTTAACCCATGTATCTGAAACATCACAGCTTTCTCAAGGACTAGCTTCGCCTATGTCTATAGATCAAAAAGATGCTCCTTTTTCTAGCAAACTACTACAATCATGTGAGTATAAAAGAAAAGGTAGTTTATTTCTAACATCAATTTAATAATTTTAAAATGTAAATATTTGAACAGTCTGTGGCATTCTATATTTCATTATGTACATGCCATTTCTGAGAGGGGTTGTTGCAGATCTTTATGTCAACAAAACAAAATATCTAATGAGATCTTTAATTACCTATAATATTAGGATGATTATTGGGTAGATATCACTGTACTGGGTCTATGGAAATCTTATATAGTGAAGGTGTAGTACCTGTTAATACTGTATGTCTTTGTAAAATTATTTCCAAAAGATTTTGAAATAAAATAGTCAAAGATATAAAGTAGCACACAATAAAAGACAAAAAAGTCAAGTAGCGGAAGAGGAGAGTGCGACATTTGTATGGCACTTAACTTCACCATTTATAACTTAGCCACCATGGACAATTTAGTTCTTTGCACTCATGTTCCTCAACTTGGGGATGCGAATAATGACACTTTGAAGGGTAATTAGTGTTAGTTCTCATAGATGTTACCCCACTTTGAATTTGGTCCTCAACAAATCAGTTCATATCTAGACACACATATATACTGGGGTGCCAAAAAAATGTATACAAGTGGACACTTTGGTCAACATTGCTCAAGCAGCATCATTTTCAGAAGTGTCTAGACGCTGATGGTAACCACTTTGAGTACCTGTTGTAATTGCAGAAGTCAAATGTGACTTATATTCATCTTTTGTTATCAGTATATATTGACTATTAGAATTTTAATACTTTTTCCTTTCTTAAAATGTCTTCTTTTTACAAATGAGAAAACTAATATTTCGAAATGTTTAGTTGCATACTAGTGCATGGATTAGCCAAGTCCTGATTGCATATACAATTTTTTTGTCCATTTAACGCTTTCCTCCATATTCAATGACTTGTGTTACTTCTATCAAAATACACTCTGAAAATCAAAATGGCTGAAATACATATATTATATATATTTATATATATAATATATATATTCATATATATTATATATATTTATATATATATAATATATATATATGGCTCTGATAACAAAAGCTGTTAAAGTATGGAATGTGCAGATATTACTTTATAGCCTGATAACAAAAGCTGTTAAAGTATGGAATGTGCAGATATTACTTTATAGCCTTATTCTTAAGGAAAAATAATTGCATCTCCCTTAGTCATTCTTTAATCTAGTCAGAATTAGATAGGTGCAAAGCACTGTGCTGGTCACTTGAGTGGATGTGAAGATGAGTAAGAGAAGCCCTTGTCTGAGAACTTGTAATTCTGTGGTGATTACAGGTATAAAGGGATAACTAACAATTTTACAAAATAAATGCCACGAGGCATACTTTGATGTAACACAGAACGTGACAAATGCTAACTGGGGAAATCAGGAATAAGAAACAGCAACAACCAAGCTGGATCCAGGAAGAGAAACAAGAATGTAACAGCTCCAAGTATAGTGGGAAAGGACATTTCCTATAAAGCACTAGCATGAGCAAAGGCATGGACACATGGAAGTGTATTTCATCTTCAGGCCATAGGGGTAGCTGTATTATGTGAGAATGGTTTGCGCAATGGAAAAGAAAGCTAAGCAGGTAAATAGGGAAGTTTATCAAGTGTAATTACAGGGATCCTAGAATTTAAGCTGTAGAAAAGGGGGAGCCATGAAAAGTTCCAAAGTAGGGATTATATCAGTGATCCAGAAAGAGCTCATTAGCAGGTATACAGTATGCACGAGGCATTAGATTAGACACATGTTCCCATATTATGCGGAAAAGCATCTGAGCAGTTTAGTCAAACATCAAGGTCAGTGTCTAGCAAGTTTCAGGAATTCCACTGAGACAATTTATGTACCAGAAGGAAAGTTGTTTTAGATGGACTAGGAAATTCTCCTTTGAGTTTTAAAGTTCTAAGATATTTAATTCAAAAACCTATAAGACTAAGAATTTACTTGAGATTAAAGTACTTGGAAAAAGAAAAACAAGATATACGAATCTTTTCATATACATATAAAATGCTTGTATTTTACATATTGTAATTCTTAGTAAAAGCATGAGTATTGTGTCTGATTATAAGTTCAGAGGCAATAATTGTTAGTATAATTATTTACATGGTAAAGGAACATGTATCATATAAATAGTGCTGCTTCCTTTCACTGGCTCACTTTTAGCCAATTTACCATTACTTATTTGTTTTACCCAGTGGTATTTAGAAAATATCTTATAGATTGTGTGTAATTCACACTTGTAAGAACGTGAACTTCAACATTAAAATAAAGTGATAGATTTCTGGTAAAGATGGTGGAGTAGGTAAATGCTGTCCTTACTTACTTTTGCTACCACATCAAAATTACAATTAAACTACAAAACAGTCATCATTGAGAAATGCCTGAAGTCTAGCTGAACTGAAACCCTACAACTAAGGACACACAGAAGAAGTCACACTTAGACTAGTAGGAGGAGTGGAGATGCAGAACAGGCTGGTCCCACACCCACATGTGACATTAAAAATCAGGAGGTTGTACATATATACAATGGAATATTGCTCGGCCATGGAAGGGAATGGGTTCTTGTCATCTACGGTGGCACGGATGGACCTGGAGGGTATTGTGTTCTGTAGAGTATGTCTGACAGAGAAAGACAAATGCAGTGTGATTTTGCTTATATGTGAAATCTAAAGAACAAAGTAAACAAACCAGAATCACACTCGTAGATACAGAACATTTTAATGGTTGCCAGATGGGAGGATGTTGAGGGATGAGTGAAAAGGGGGGAAGGGATTAAGAAATACAAATTGGTGGTTACAAAATAGTCATGGGGATGTAAAGTAAAGCATAGAGAATATAGTCAATAATATGGTAATAACTGTGTACTCATATGGTGCCAGGTGGGTACTGGACTAATCATCATGATCACTTTTTTTTTTTTAAAGATTTTTATTGGGGAATTGGGGGATGGGAACAGCGCTGGGGAATTGCGGGAAGGAGAACAGACAAGTTGCTGTCCTTTTGTTCTTCAGTCTAGTTGTGGAGGACATTGCGTCATTTGCCCAAGTTGGCACCATCATTGCGCTCTTCCCGGGCAAGGCAGATCAGTCGCCGGCTTCATGACGGCTGCTGGCTACATACGGTAGCCCATGGCAACCCACTGCAGCAGGGGCTGCATCCTACGCCGCCGCCTGTGACTCATGGCAGCCCAGCTCCACGTTGAGCTGTTGTTCAGCATCTTAGCTGTGGAGGGCAGTGTCACTGGCCCTCATATGTGGGATCCGAACCGGAGCCCTCTGGTATCCCAAGTCAGCTCGTAACCAACGTGCCACTTGGCCGGCCCTATGATCACTTCTTAAATTATGTAAATGTCAAACCACTGTGCTGTACACCTGAAATTAACATTGAATGTCAAAAATAAAATAAAATTATAGTTTTAATTAAATACGAATTGAACTGGGTAAATTCAGTCACATTCCGGCCTTATATCATATCTGGATATAGCATATCAATGATACTCCTTTATTAAGAAGAGTTTCAAATTGGATAATCGATATTCAAGTGGATTTCCTCCAACTATAAATTAGTTCTATTGTACTGATGTTTACTTTATGAATGTTGACAGGTTTTTGTTTTTGTTTTGTTTTGGTTAACTTTCAGAATAGTATTTGTATGCCAAAAACCCCTGAAGCCATCATTGTGGATTGGATCGTGTTTACATAGAAATAGTTCTGATACGCAGTACTTATTAGTTTTCCTAATTATCTGTAAATATTCAGGCTCAGGGAGAAACTAAGAAAGAGGTGACATAAGCTTCAATATTTTCTCTTCCCTATAGGTTTTGAAACAGTTGCTTCCAACCCCAGAATGCCTGTGAAGTGTCTAACTTCTAATCTACTCCAGTCTAGGAAAAGGCTGGCTACATCAAGTGCCAGTAGCCAGTCCCACACCTTCGTATCCAGTGTGGAGTCTGAATGCCACAGCAGTCCCAGATGGGAAAACGATTGCCAGGTTAGAGTGAAATATGTCTGAACCCAAACCAATTTATATGTGAAACTAATGATAAAAACACTCTACTTTTTCATATAAATTCTGTATGGAAATGAATTGCAGTCAACGTACTCTTTATTTTTCCTGTACATTCTGTCAAATGTTTTTGAAATATTTCATTTCTCATTCAGATGTGAAATTATTCTTGCTTGGTACATGAGATAACTTTTTAAATGTTTGCTGTAAATTGATAGTAAATTTTTAACCTATGTCTTATTCTAGAACTTATACTACCTTCTTCTGTGCTGTTTTCCACCAGTTTCTTATTTAGTGGAATGTTAATTTTTCTGGATCACAAATAACTTTTTTTTTTAAAGATTTTATTGGGGAATTGGGGGAGGGGAACAGCGCTGGGGAATAGGGGAAGGGGAACAGACAAGTTGCTGTCCTTTTTTTCTTCAGTCTAGTTGTGGAGGTCACTTCACTGGCCCATGTTGGTATTGTGATCATTGTGCTCGTCACGGCTGAAGCAGTTGGTCGCCAGCCATTGGACGGCAGCTCTCGCCAGCTGCCAGCCGCTCACACTGGCTGCTGGTCACTCACGGCAGCTCACGGCAGCCCCACTGCAGCCTACACCGTCGCCTGCGACTCACAGCAGCCCAGCTCCAGGTCGAGCTGTTGTTCACCATGTTA